AAAAAAAAAAAAAAAAAGAATCCTCTACAGTGACTTCTGGAGCGTGGTCCCACTAGCCACGAGGATCGGATTGAATGCCTGAATCAGGACCTGTTTGTGCACAGGTGCAGGAAATAGAGATTGAACTGCTTCTCTGCATCTCTGCGTAAAACACATCCAGATTCAGGCATTCAATCCGACCCTCTCTGCTACTGGAACCTCGGCCCTGGGGGAGGGAGAGGGGGGAAGGGGGACAGCATCCAAGCAGTAGGTGAAACTGGTCCGCCCAATTTTTTTGAAAGGACGCCGGGAGGGAGATCCCACTAGCCATGTATGTGGATTAGTGTGACGGGTGTGGGACGGGTGGGGAACAAGTGGGTGGCAGCGTGAAATAGGGAAAATAAACGCAAAAATACATTTCATGACCAAACAAATGAAGAAAAAACTGCGGAAAAGGAAAAGAAATTGCTCTTCTCACAGATGTTGTATGCTCCAGGTGGGGTGTCAGATGTCAGGGTATGATTCACTCACCACGGCTGTGGCAGTCAAGACGACTGCATGTGACTGGGGAAACGGACCATGTTCATTGGCAATAGTCTGAGGCTTCCTTGAAGTGGGCCGCAGTGCACCCTGTTCGGTTGTTCTGACAGAAATTCTCTTTGACGAAGGAGGGCAAGAGTAACTCCATACACCATTTGCTGTACGTGAGGGGATCGAACCCTCAAACACACCTCCCAAACCACAATCAATTTCCAGCCATGAAGCCACTCGTCTTTGCTTTCGCCCTGAGTGAAACTTGTGTGATTTCACAAACCAAAAAAATTGGCTGTGATTTCACACACGTTTGGGACAGCCACAGGACCCCAAAAACAAAAATGAAAGGAAAACCTACCAATGGGAGAGCAAAAGTAAACATCCTTTTCCCAGGCTTAATTCACAAAAACAGACTACCGCTGATTTCCTCCCAAATCCACGATGCCTGACAGTCACACACCTTAAACACTAATCCACATACATCCGTAGTGGGATCTCCCTCCAGTCCTGTTTCCCGGCTTGTTTAATAAAAAAAAGACACTTTTGGCGTTGAAAAAAAAAAAAACAAGGATCCAACGAGCTGCGGCATCCACACTTGAGGAATAACAGTGATGGGGTCGCGCTCCACTACTCTCAATAACGACGATTATTAGACTAAAATCATGTAGGTGTATCTTTCCATGGTCTAGCATGAAGATACTCTCTCGTTTTGCACAGTTCCGGAGTAGTGGAGCGGGGCCCATGGGAGTCCTTTTTTTCTCTTCCAACCCATTGGTCGCCCGTTATCATTGTTCCAGCGGTACTTTTTCACATTATGAAATTGAAATTGAAAAAAAAAAAAAATATATATATATATAAATTGAAACATACAGGGTTACCTGACCGAACGTTTGGGGCCCCTCCGGGCTGGCTGGCCTCCGAACGTTCGGGCGTTCAGGGTCCCGTTCGGCCCCCGCGAAAAAACATTTCGGGGCCTAAAAATAAGTTGTTTTTTCTGAATTGTTTTTTGTGAGTTCTCTATGATGTAACCTACACGCCTATAAATTTTGAAGCCATTCTGCTCAGCCACAAAAACATTAAAAATTGTCAAAGATGGGGGTGTCAAAACGTGCTCGCCCACTCACTATTTTTTTTTTTTTTCACTTTTAACTTTTTGTTTTCACTTTATTTCGGGGCCTAAAAAGTTTTATTATTTTTTTTAAAAAAAATAATGAGTTATTGATTATGTAAACTACATATCTGTACATTTTCAGGGCATTTGTCAATGCCAAAACCTAATTAAAAATCGGCGTCGAAAAGGTGCTGGCACACTCACTCATTTTAATTCTCTTTTTATTTTTTCTTATTTTTATCATAGAGTTTATTTTCTGTATTTGATTTTTAATTCCAATCTGGTAAAGAATTTGGATGTAGTGCCCAGGGAAATGTTATTTAGTTTATTTTTCTCCATAACATATGTTGTTTTGGGAATTTTTGGAAAATGTTTTTTTTTTTTTTTTTTTTTTTTTTTGGGTCCGCGTTTGGCCCGAACGGACGAACGCCTTCCGAAGGGATCCCGTACATTCGGGCGTTCGGCCCGTCCCGAATGCCGGCAACCCTGTATATATATATTTATATAATATAATATATATAAATATATATATATATATAATATATATCGTATATTGAAATTCACGTGTGCAAACTTGGGATAACATTGAAATGTTGACCTCCTCGTTCTTTGCTGCTCATCGGCCACCGCGACACTCGCAGTCGATAACAGCCATCAAACATCCGTTTGATGCCTCGGCACCGTTGGCAGTTGAAACGCGAGCAATAGTTACTAATATTTCCTTGTTTTATGAAAGTCTGCTCACTTCACAGGCACAATATACGGAGCACCAACTGCTCCACCAATTCCATGAACAGGTATGGTCAAAAGTGGAAAACAAACTAACGGACAGTCAACTGCAATTGCTTGAAGCGGACATACGAATGCAGGAGCTAATGGAGTCCACTTCCAACTTGGCATGTCGCAAAACTCCAGGAGTGGATGGCCTCCCTACATAGTTCTTTCGTGACTTTTCATTACATTTGCTGCCTGAGTTGCTGCTGATTTGTCAATCAGTCTGGAAAAGAGCCTCTCTGTCGGCTTCAGCATTACAAAGGGTTATCAATTTTGTGTTCAAAAAAGGGGACCGCACCGACATTGCAAATTATAGGCCTATCACGCTGATGCAA